ACACCATTGCCCGTTTCGAAACTGTTTTGAACCAATGTCAAAAATGTGGACGCGAGAAAACGGCTCTGGTCCTGTCTACAGTATTGTAGGTATATAGTCTAAGTTTACAGCACTACCTACGCGACAAGAGGATTTTGTCAAAAATTTAATTGAGAAGCTTGATCGCTTACCGGTAGTCTTTTCCGCGGGCGCCTAGGATCGAATTAAATGATTTCATCACTTTCAAACCAGTTTATTATCAGTACGTTAAGCACAAACTACAATAAGGACAAAATTGGATACCTCATTTGTGGATCTCCAAGTACAGCAGCGCCCTCTAACACTCAACAGTCGATGTTACATTCCATTGTCCGATGTGGTATTTGTGAGCATTTATCAAAACTGCATGTTGCGAGACCAGCGTCATCAAAGTCAAAAATGGCGCCTGGTTGGCAAACAAAAAGCGTATGTTCTCTTTTGGAGCGATTGTCAATTCACTGGGAGAGTTCGGAAATGACAAGTTATTTTACACGTGACTCCAAACTGATTTTATATAAATTGAAAATTGAACACTTTACAACTGTGGGTAATTTCCAGCTATAATATGATCTTGGAGCTATTTTCTGGTCAGCGGTCAGTCCTTGCTGACAATAAGGCAATTTGACACTTATCTGACATGCCGGCTGGTTGGCAAAGTCTGTCTGGATTCAAGAACACTTAACCTAATAGGACTGCTTATTTAGCTAAAAGTGTCTGCCAAGTCAGCCGCAGACCGCAACTCTTGCCGCAAAATGCATTATCCGAGTTCAAAACCTATGGGTCAAAAAACGTCAAAAAAGCGAACCACTATCAGCCGATGATAATGGTGACGTCACTCAAAGACCAGCTGCCGACTCCAGATAGGCGAACGTACGCCTTATTAGGATGAGCAATCCTAGAGTCCACGATTCTTGGTTTGAAACTCATAATTGTTTTTATGGCCGTTTCCACCAATTAATTTAGGGGAGCCTTAACGATAAGTATTTTAATCGAAAATTCTCAAGAATATTTTCGAGAACTATCGAGAATATTTCCTAGAATTTTCTAAAAAAATTTGATGAAAATACGAGATTATTGAAAATACAAGAGGGAATTCTGTAACGGATAGAGATCGTTATATCGATATCGCTATGGCACTTGCTGTCTTTTCTCTCTTTCCGAAATCAATAGAGAGGGGCCGTCAATAGAGATAGCGAAAATATCTCTATTCGTTACAGAATCGCAGCCAAGATCTCAGTAAGTCATTTCAATTTATGTGGATGATGTAGACTGTCTTTACGGAAACGCTGATCTAATTAACCCGACCCAATCACAGGCCGAGTTCGGCAAATAGCTCCGAGAGCATATATCGATGAAAATTTTGACAGTTGTCACGTGTTTAACTTATGTAAAATCAATTTGAAGTCACGTGTAAAAAATAGTATGTCGCATTTGCGATGTCATTTCCGAACTCGCCTACAGATGATTTTTATCTTTTTTCAATCGTCTCCATTGAAGAAAGATAAAAAACAAAGCTGGTGATCGGGTTAATCGGATCAGTGTTTCCGTAAAGGCCTTATTAATTAACACAGGCATAAAAATTTTTTACTAGTTTTATTTTTACCTGAGCTTACAGTGAAAAATATGTGTTTTTATTGGTTTATAGTCTGCTAGTTGATGGGCCTGTTTCTGCCAGGCAATGTAAAAAAAAATATTTGTCATAATAACAGAAGAATGTGTACGATGTAAAATTACTAAAAAAATACCTATTTATTTTTTTCCGTCACACGAGGCAACTGGAAAAAAAGGGACATCTTTTTTTTTAGTGGTCAATTTCAATTACCCGGGTTTTTTAACTAAAAATATTTATTTGGCAACACTGTCTCTGTGCGGAGACGCGACGAACGTCACGAACGTGGACGGGGAGCGACTTCGACGTGGGATCAGAGATAAAACGCGCGAAGAGTCTGCGCTAAAACCCATTTTTTGCCTTAATTTTTTTTTCTAGATCGAAATTGAAAAATTTGGCTCCGTTACGTTCTAGCCAGTATCCCAAAGAACAACTATTCCAAATTTGAGAATTGTAGCTCATGTAATAACGTCAGAATGGCGTGGAAAGACACATAAATAAACTCCATCAGCAAATTAAATAAAATAATGTAAATAGTCAGTACACTACAATGATAGGTCTGTTTCTGCAAAAATCACAAACCAGTCAGAGTGAATTTAATTGGTTGAAACTAGTTTTCTGACTGTTTCTGACTATTTTCAACCAATGAAATTCGATCTGACTGGTTTGTGATTTCTGCAGAAACAGACCTAATAGCAATTTACTACTGATTTGTTTGATATAGCTCTGAAAATTTAAAAAATACAATATTTCTATAAGTTCCCGAAAGTTTCCAATATTCCCGGTAAGTATCCGAAAATGTTCGCGCGCGGCTTTGAAATGTTTCGGGAATTTGGAAATTTACATCCACTATATACCTACAATACTCTAGAGACAGGACAAGTCATTCATAAATCACCGAATAATTTGACCTAAAACAAGCGCTTAGAATTACTTATCAATGAGTGCAGCCAAAGATTTGTTGTGGTGGGAGAACGCTGCAGCCAACAGGGTCCCTATTCTTGAAACAGGGGAGCAGCGTTCCCAGGAGAACGAGTGTTTTGTCTTTGTTACTTATATTATCATTTGCATATCATTGAGAAAGACGGAACACTCGTTCTCCTGGGAACGTTGCTCCCCAGTTTCAAGAATAAGGACCCAGGGGTGCGTTCCTTGACGTCCCGCGGTAGCCGTGTGGTTGTCTATCCTTGTCTTGTATAAGAAGTTGGAAAAGCACATTGCATAAATACGATAGATCTATTTTACTACGCGGAGCTATGTGGTGTTTATAATGTGCATTAATGTAAGAGCAAAACAAACAGGCACCTTATCCGTTTTCTCGCGTCCACTTTTTTCAAAACTGTTCTGAACCAATGTCAAAAAAGTGGACGCGAGAAAACGGCTCTGGTCGTCTCTACCAGTATTGTAGGTACATAGTCTAAGTTTACATCACTACCTACATGACAAGAGGATTTTGTCAAAAATTTAATTGAGAAGCTTGATCGCTTACCGGTAGTCTTTTCCGCGAACGCTCGGGATCGAATTGAATGTTTTAATTACTTTCAAACCAATTGATTAACTGTTAAGCACAAATTACAATAATGTGTGCAAAAGAAAAAAAAAACAAAATAGAACCGCCAATAATTTGACAATTTTGGCATAGGTTCATAGGTACCTACATTACCTACTGTCACACTGCCTATTTGTCAAGTAGTGCCCTCTAAAACTCAACTGTCAATGTTACATGCCTTTGTCCGATGTGGTATTTGTGGGCATTTATCAAAACTGTATGTTGGGAGACCAGCGTTATCAAATTCAAAGATGGCGCCTGGTTGGCAAACAAAAAGCGTATGTTTTCTTTTTTAGCGATTGTCAATCCACTGGGTGAGTTCGGAAATGACAAGTTTTTTTACACGTGACTCCAAACTGATTTTATATAAATTGAAAACATCACAACTGTGGAAAATTTTCAGCTATAATATGATCTTGGAGCTATTTTCTGGTCAGCGGTCAGCCCTACCGGACAATAAGGCAATTTGGCACTTATTTGACATGCCGGCTGGTTGGCAAGTCACTAGGCTAATGAAAACAACGTATTTGATGACTATTATTAGGTACATCAAATACATTGTTTTCAATTTTTTATGATGGCTGCCCATTTAAATCCTATATAATATTCATATTTGAAAGTAGCAAGAGGTAGGGCACAAAATGGCGGCGATACCTCTATTGTCGCCACTGTATGTAAAGGTTTATTTAGCCACTGTGGCGAAAATTACAGTGACTCTATTACCACAGTGGCGACAATTGCCGCATTCTTCTTAATTGGTTCTTAAAAATCCTAATAAATTCATATGGAAATCGCCGACATTTTGTGGCCTACCTCTTGCTAATTTCAAATATGAATATAAGTATACCTAAGATTTTAATGGACATCCATCATAAAAAATTGAATACAACGTATCCGATGACTATTATTAGGTGCATCAAATACGTTGTTTTCCATTTTAAAAGCAGTAAGAGGTAGGCCACAAAATGGCGGCGAGACCTCTATTGTCGCCACTGTATGTAAAGGTTTATTTAGGCTGGGTTCGTTAATTGGATCTGCGAGCAAAATAAGCAAAATTTGACAAATGACAAAATTTGACAAAAGATAAGTGGTCACCTGACGTCTGTCAAAATTTGCTCTTTTTGTTCGCAGATGTGATAAACGAACCCAGCCTAGTCAATGTAGTGAAAATTACAGTGACTCAATAAACTTTTATATACAATTAAGGTCTAATTTCAAATAGGAATCTAGAAGTAAGCCCCCGCTGCCATATTCTTGCTCATTTTCGATATCAACATATGGGATTTTAAAGAACCAATCAAAAATAGGATGGCAATTGTGGTTTATTGAGTCACTGTATTTATTCACCTTTTCAAGCGCCATCTATCGCTAATCAAGTAGAAGCCCTTGTGAAAAATAATATTTACTTTTAATTGTATAGCAAATACCAATAGAAAAACATGGTATTGGGAAAAGTATACTGCCAAGCCTAGTACTTATAACTGCGAAATTCGCTTTTTTTTGACATTGCTTCGACAATTTGACGTTTGATACACGCATAAAACGTCAAATTGTCTACTAGGCTTTACTCATCAAAAATCATTTTTTGCAACTTAAAAACATTACGTACCTCGTTTGGTAAGCTGTTTTTTCGTTGCAAAAAATGCTGTTTTCGTCACTCGGTAAACAATATACCATTTTTCTTATCAGTACAAAAAGATAATTGCACCCTTCCAAAGATAATCCTACTCCGGAGTACAATCTTTGACCCTTCTCAATAAAAGAAAACACCTTTTTGATACGGTCACTGTCAACGTAAAGTCATTCCATCCAATCTGTCAACGCTGCCAACAACTTCACTTCATTCGAATATCACATCACATCAATCAATTTTTTTAGTGATTTGTGGTGTGGGTTTAATTTTTGCTGATAATGAAGAAAATATATCATAGATAAGATATTGTTTTTGCACATCTATAATTTGAAAAACGTATCATATTAACTTAAACAAGCAGTATGTCTGGGTTTGATGAAAATCCATTTGGTGAGCCCACCATAGATAACCCCTTTGCCGTAAGTAATTTGCATAGCTAGCATATTTTCAGAAATTTTGAATTTTTCTTTTTATTTTTAAGTACGTGTCTTTGTCCTTTATTACCAGAATTTTTGAATTATTGTAAAATGTTCTATGTAATATATTTAATCATTAGGAGGAAAAGAAGTTATAGTTGATTAAGGTTTTAAGTGATTATTTTGTAGGACCTTTTCTATGTTTCAGGACCCATCTGTACAACAAGTTGCTAGGAACACAAATGCGCAAATTAGGGTAGATGATTATAATCCTTTTGACAATCAGGCATCAGCAGCACCAAAATCGGTAAGTTATGCCGATTTATTATTGGTAACTTTATTTAAGTATTCGGTTAAAAAAATTAGATACAAAAAGGTACCGCATAATGGGGTGACTTAGCATCAGTTTTGACATATTTTTTATCAGTAACCCACTTGTATTTTCAGTACCAACGCTGGTTCGATTATGTCAAAATATGCACCCTAACCATCTCATGGGGCATTTTAAAATGATATTTGATATGATTTTTTTAAAATTCAATCATGGGCAAAACCACCTGCGATTTGGGGTCACTTTGCCCTGGGTATAGAATCCGAGATAAAATCAACATGAATGCGATTTATTGCCCAATAATTTTTGAGTTGAAAGCGAGGTTGAAAGTTAATTTTTTCAGTTTTCTGGGAGGAGATACAGAATAAAACAGATAAATCATCAGTTCATCCCTAGACTGTAGCAACCCAGGTAGCAACGTAATTTGAATAGGAAACATTCGAAATCATAACAATTTTCATATGCGAGATAATTCAAGAATTGGGGGCCAGTCTGGGCCTTGTACCTAGAATTATACCGTCTTTCAAAATTTCACCCTCTTTCCTTCTGGTTCTAAATAATTTTTAACCTATATTTTTAAATCCCCTTTTGTTAACAGGGCTTGCCAATTTGTTTTTTGCTCTGGTCCAAATGGTTTGTTTGGGAAAATCCCCGTGCTCCTAATTTTCTCTCGAATTTTCTCACATATTGTAGATTGTGGGAGAGTTGTTTCGGCTTTTCAGCCGCTCAGCCCTGCTACCTTTGTAGATATTTTGTACGTGACTCTACATCCTAAGTTGTCTCCAGAAAGAGTAGACTTCTGCCTAAGGAAGCTATTTTCCTGGGTGTCAGTTGGACCACTTCTTCTGGTGACAGTGTTGCCCCCTCGAGGATTTTGAGCCTCTTGCAGAATTGGGCTGGACATCGCAGAGAGAGGTGCTCTGCGGTCTCTATTGCGTCTGAGCAGAATCTGCAAAGATCATCTTCTGTTCTGCCCATTAACCTTAAATGGTATTTTACCAGGCAGTGTCCTGTGAGCAGTCCTGCCACCAATCTGATGTCTGGTCTGCTCATGTTCAGGAGCTGTTCAGCTCTTTTTGCTGAAAGGGTAATAAACCTTTTTGACTGTCTGAGTCCCGGAGTGGGCGTCCAATATGATGACAGTTGGTCTATTAACCATTTGTTGAGTTCTTCCATGATGTGGGTTTTCATTAAGCCACAGTAGGGCTCTGGTCCATGGTATGGTCTTGAGTGTTGAGGCCCCTTCTTTTGCGAGGCCATCTGTTTCTTTGTTTCCTTCTATGCCTTGATGACCAGGGGCCTTATTCTGTAAGGAACGAACCTTTCGATTCGGTAGAATTTCTTCGATTGTGACGTCATTTTCGGTTTAGTTTTCGCGCTACCAAACCGAAAATGACGTCACAATCGAAGAAATTCTACCGAATCGAACGGTTCGTTCCTTACAGAATAAGGCCTCAGGCAGCCACATCAGCGTTACCTGGTTGTGTGTCGCTAGTGTTTTTAGGGTCTGTTTACAGTCCCGGTAATGCCTTGGAGAGCTTCAAGTTAGGACCGGAAATGCCCAGTCCACCTCCTTCCATTAGTTTGGATCCATCTATGTACCACAGAGATGCATTGTCTGCTGGTGGTTATTCTTTATTCTCCCATGATTGGCGGTCGTTTATTACCACTGCGAATGGGATCTCCAAGTCCTATCTGACCATCATGTGGTCACTTGGTTTGCTCGCATTCTCCAGTTTTATTAAATCAAGGATGCACAGATGTCCCCTGAGATCACCAGGCTTGAACTTTTCTGTTTAGAATAGCCTGTGAGCGCTGGTTATTGCCTCATTTTACACACATAGGTGAAATGGGGGCATGTTGAGTAGCGTCTCTAGGGTTGCGGTGGGGCAAGTTGACATTGCTCCTGTTATTCCTAGACATATCAGCCTTTGTACCTTTCTTAGCTTGACCTGAGCGGTGACTTTCTGGGTTTTGGGCCACCACACCAATGAGGCATATGTGAACATTGGCTTTATTATAGTTTGGTAAATCCAGAATACCATCTTTGGCTTTAGCTCCCATGTTTTGCCAACAAGTTTTCGGCATGACCAGATGGCTGATGTAGCTCGAGAGCATGTTTTCTCTAACTGTTTGTTCCAAGTGAGTGTTCGGTCCAGGGTGACCCCTAAGTACTTCACTTCGTTGGAAAATGTTAGTTGTGTACTGTCAAGGGTGGGGGCTTTCAAATTTAGCTTCCTTCTTCTTGTGAACGGGAGAAGGATTGTTTTGTTTGCGTTCAGGGATAATCCCTCGCCTTCACTCAGTTTTTAACGATGTTTAGGGTACTTTGCATTCGGCTTGTTATTACGCCTTCATGTGAGGTGTTCTCAAAGGCGCCCTCTATGTCGAAGAATGCTGTGAGAGCGATCTCTTCGCACTCAATTGTCTTTTCAATGTCTTTAACCAGGCAGTCTAAAGCACTTACTGCAAATTTGCCTGGCTGATAAGCAAATTGCTTTGAGTAGAGTGGTCTTCTCAATAGAGTTTCGCTTCTGATGTACTGGTCAATTGCTTTCTCCATTGTCTTAAGGAGAAAGAAGGTTAGGCTAATGGGACGGTATGATTATAATGGCCAGGTCATCTGCATAGCCTATGACCTGGTATCCAGCATTAGGTACTCAGTCTGGTAAGAATTTTGTTTACCACCGGTGTCCATAGTAGTGGAGAAAGAACACCCCCCTGAGGACACTCTCTGGCCGTGGTAACGGTAGCTGATGCTCCGTTTATTTCAGCCTCAATGTAACGGTGTTCCAGCATCGACTCTATCCATTTTACAATTGGGACTTCAAAATACCATTCTTGTAATGCTCTAGCGATTGATTGATGTGAGGTGTTGTCAAAGGCACCCTCTATGTCGATGAAAGCTGTGAGAGCGACTCTTTGCACTAGATTGTCTTTTCAGTGTCTTTAACCAGGCAGTGTAAAGCACTTATTGTGGATTTTCCTGGCTGATAAGCAGAGTGCGTTGAGTAGAGCGGTCTTCTCAATAGAGTTTCGCTTCTGATGTACTGGTCAATTGCTTTCTCCATTGTCTCGAGGAGAAAGGAGATTATGCTAATGGGACGGTATGATTTTGGTTTGTCCTCAGGTCGACGGTTTTTGGTATGAATATCACATTAGCTTCCCTCCAAGATAGCGGTATGTGCCCTAGGAGCAGGCTTGCCTTGAAAAGCTTTTGTAGGTGAACCTTTAAGTACTCATAGCATATACCTATTATTCTAACGTATATGGCGCCTCCCCCATTTACCCAATGTGCGGTTTTTGAAGCAAACAAAGAGAGATAAAGTTATGTGATCTCGCATAAGTCTATCTTTGTCAAACGAAGGAGAACGAGGTTATGAACTGCGCTTGCGTTAAACTCTAGATTCTTATTGGCCGGCGGTTGCCATTTTGCATCAAGCTTTTCGTGCGTGTTGTCATGTCAAGCTAAAAAGTACAATGAATCAGGATCATTTTTTGAGGTTATGATTTGGTCGATTGTATTTTGATTCCAAAACACTAAAAAAAATGAATATATTGGTTCATTTGTCGAAATCGAGTGTGTTACACGCACCAAAATACAAAATTCGTCATGTTTCTTGTGAATGTTTAAATAACTCGAAGATAAAAATAATTTTATTGGCAACCCTGCAATATTAGCTGTTTAAAATGAAATCTTATTGGAGGAATAACTTCAAATTGAGGCATGCGCATTTGAAAAATAAGTTCACTTTAGACAAAGAAGGCATCGTTCTATCTCATAATGTTTGCTTCAAGAACTCAAACCAACCCGCTATATACGTAGTATAATAAATATATGACTCGTAGCCTTTTTGCAGTTGTGCGGGAAAGATCCCGTCTTTGCCTGGAGATTTGTAGGGTCTGAAGCTATCAATCGCCCATTTTATTCTGTTCATTGTCAAGATTTTCCCAGCCAGCCTTTTGCTCCTGCCGTTAGGGCTTTTTGACCCTTAGATAGGCAGAGGGTTCAGGACTCCAACGATTACCGAACCTGGAAAATGAGTTTGTAGCAGTACCTCTAGACTTTCTATATGGTCGGTACAGTGTTCTCCGTTTGGCTTTTTCAGCAGACCAATTCCGTTTGAGTGGCTTTTTGAAAGAACTTTTTGGAGACGTTGAGCTGGGGCTAATTCGTCTATCCCCTCGCAGAATTGTCTCCATGTCCATTGTCCTTTTTGATTTTCTTAATTCGCGGTTGTACTTGTCTAGGGCTGTTCTATAGTCTGCCCAGTTATCATCAGTTTCTGCCTTGTTGAACAGTTTTCTGGCGTCTTGGGTTTCAGACGTCTTAGCTGCCCGTTCCACCAAGGCACATCCCTGTGGACTGCCTTCTGTTTTACAGAACAACTGTTCTCATAGGAATCTTTTATTGCATTTGCTAGATTGTCAGATGATGCCTCTAGCTAGCGCGCGAGTCAAACTCTTGCGGGGCTTTATTTGATGAGCTCGTTGGTGATTCACTTTTTTTTTGAGAATAGTGTTCGTTTCAGATTTCAGATTTTATATGGTTTACTGTTTATTATTTCTCCATTTTCTCATAAATTATGTAAAGATTTATATTTACTAACCTGTTATTGTCCCCACAGACGAGAAATTTCTCTTGTGGGGTTGAATCCTGTATTTATTGTTAAGTAAAAAAATTGAATGTATATTTTTTCTTTAAAACAATAAATGCTATATAATAATCTATAAAACACAGTTGTGTTGGTATTTGAGCACTTATAACTCGAGAACGGCTGGACTGATTTTTATGATTTTTGCTTTATTGGATTTGTCTTTGTCCATCCTAGGATAATAAATCGAAAAAATCCAAAAAAAAAAAACAAACAAAAAATTATCTATTTTACTTATTTATGAAAAAAACTCACTAAGCCCGCATACGGCGCCATCTCTTTTAACCGATACCAAGTTTACCGTCACATTTTCATTGCAAA